CCCTCTGCTCTTTCGTTCTCGCCATAACTGCAAGACGGTGTTGGCCATGTCTGGAGTGCCAAGGGTAAATTTCATTATCCTCGGACCGTTTCCATGGTAATTTGGAGAACAGGGAAGACGACTGATTGAAGTTGTCAGAAGACCCGTACAACCAAGTAAATTTTGGATGAAACCCCATTCTCGCCGGTCATTCTGATGACTTTTAGATTCATCTGGATCGTCCAACTGTGGAACACCATGGATGAGGACGACCCTCTTGTTTTCCTCCACCCTGGCTGTCATTGGATCGGACTGATGCTGCATTCGTTCCGTCTATGGCCTATCAGGGAAAACTCTGGCTCTGCAGGAACCATTTCTGAGGAGGTAGCCAGAAAGAAATAAAAATGTTTTTAGGGAAAATTGTTTCCTGTCAGATCGGGCAGAATGAACGTGGGTCGGAGGGTGTGTGTGCGTGTGTGTGTGTGTGTGTGTGTGTGTAATGTAATCACTGCTGTATGAATACGGTTTTTGGAACAGTGAGCTTCCGCAGTAAGTATATTGTAATAATCGGAATAGTTTTAAATACTGCAATACGAGAACTCGTACTGTAAAACTCAGAACAAGATTGGCTACAACCCGCATTACATACACCAATGAAAAACATGAGGAATTGGTAGTTGCAAGTGTCATTATTTATTTATAGAAATAGAGCATGTCTTATAGAAGGTAATAGGCCATTTCATTGGTTGAAGGACTATAGTAAGATCATGTAACTGTTTGCGCAGACGTATCGTATGTACTAACTCCGCTGTAATGTTCACCCGGTGTACCATTGGTCCAGCTTCTTGAACTTTGATTGGATGACATATAACTGTACCTGATCATAGTTAAAATGAGGTCACATATGTCTGGATCACCACAACTATCTTTCCTGATGAGTGCCTCGTCAATGTGGCTCGCCTGACGGCTAGATCTGCGAACTGCAATCGTTGGCTCCGCCTGTTCATGGTGGTGTCATTGCGTTTCGATTGAATGTGTCTGCGCATCTAACTGATGCGGCTCCGCTTGGTGCTTTGACGGAGTTCGTACCTTGATGCCACTGCTCCGTGGATGATTTGAAGTGGATTTGGTCCACGTGTCGCTTGTGTACAGTAGCATTATTCAAGTCGGTAATTTCCACCATGGCTTGACTCAATTGTCGTGTGACTATACCAATGGTGGATTGCAAATCGTTACCACGGAAGTATACAATGTCACTGGAGTCGAGGCAATGTATTGAGGATCGCAAGCATCTGGATTTAACAAGCATTGCCGGGCTCTCTTTGGTGGCTGTATGTGTTGCGTTTCGGTATTGAAGTGGGAAGTTATCCACCAACGTTTCCAATTCAGGTAGCGTTTTAGGATTGGCAGACGCAATTGCACTGTTGACCGTTTTGACTAAATTCTCTGCCGCCCGTTTGAATAGGTGTGACGTGGCGCAGTTCGAAAATGTCGGCAACCAATGCTGTCCATCCAAAGCTTCATTTCGGTCGCACAGAAGTGAGATCTATTGTCCGTCACAAGCACTTGCGGAATTCCTTTGCGACTAAAACATCTCCGTAGTACTTGTATCACAAATGATGTGAAAGGTGTAGCCGTGAATAATACCTCTGACTATTTGGATTATGAATCGATCAGAACAAGGGCGTAATATCGGTTCAGAAATGGACCACAGAGATCCAAATGAACCCTTTACCATGGTATGTAGTTTTCCCGCCAGTGTCCAGTTTTTCGGCCTTGTTCGTAGTTTACGTAAACATGACTCACAGTTCTTGGCTGTTGCGTAAATGTCTGCGTCCGACTCCGGCCACCAACACATCTGTCGAGCCAATGATTTCATCTTCTCCACCCCCATGTGTCCTTTATGCAATTCATCTACTACCGTCTTCCGTATTGGCGGTGGGATTACCAAACTATCGTCGCGATACAATGCACCATCCAATTGCACTGAAAACTCCTCTAGGTGAGCAAAGAATTGAGGATAATTTCTCATTACCTCTGGTGACCACTCTTTCTTGATCGCTGAGAGTAGGGACTAGTAGTACTGCTTGGTAGATTTGCGTAAAGATTCCCGAGACACTGGTGATGCTGGGGAGATGAAATGACACTGTTCAGCCTCTGAAAATCGTGAGTAGCGGGAGAGGAAATCAGCCTGCGGGATTGTCTTTCCTGGACGATGTTGGATGTCGTAATTGTCTGCGGCTAAGGCGATGCTCCACCTCTGTAACATTGCAGCAGTGGACTTCACGATGGATTTGTTGGGGTTGAACAAGAACTGCAGCGCTTGATAATCAATGACGGTGGTACATCGCAATCAGAGAAGATACATGTGCAATGGTCGAACAACCCGAAACAGAGCCAACACTTCTTTTTGAGTTTGCGAGTATCCTTTTTCAGTGGCATTAAGTGAACGTGAAATGCAGATCGCTGGGTATCCCATCCCTCTTGTTCTAATACAGCACCGAAGCCGACGTCGGACTCATCGGTGATTAGTATGGTAGGTTTTGATGGTGAAAACAGGGCCAAAACAGGACGATCATTAACGCAGCGAGTTAAACCACGTAAGATATGTTCACACTCCACCAACCATTTCCAAGCGTCAGAACATTGAGCACGGAAAAGCGGCTGCACCCTTGTAGCGAAGTTCGGGATAAATCGGGAACAGTACTGTAGGCATCCCATCACGGATCTCAAATGCGTTTGATTCTTTGGAGATTCGATGTTAGTCAATGATTTGAAACGTGTCGGATCGGAACAGTATCTACGACAATCAACTGTAAATCCTAGAAACTCCAACTCACTCACAACAAAAAATATTTGGACGGCTTGATAGCCACGTTCCTGGTGACGAATCGTTCCAGTAGCTGCGTATAACGGGCATCGTGTTCTTTCGTATTCAGGCCGAAAATGAGGACGTCATTTAAATATGCAAGCACACCGTCGAGTTCTTTGATTACACTGTCTATTGCCGATTGAAAGAGGCCAGACGACACATGCAATCCGAACGGGAGAAAATTATACTGGTACATTCCCCACGGCGTGTTGATTGTTGTCAAGTAGCGAGATTCGATATTGAGTGGAATCTGTAGGTATGCGTCCACCAAATCGATCTTGGAAAAATACTGGCAACCATGAAATGACTTCATGAAATCCTCTAGTTCCATGGTGGTCGCTGCACCTCTCCGCATTCGAGGATTCAACGTCAATCGATAGTCTCCACAGATCCGTGGTGTTCTACCATCACTTTTATCGCCACGACAATCGGGGTCGCCCAAGCACTGGATTCAACTTTGTTTATAACACCATCCTGTTCCATTTTCTGTAACGCTTTCAGGACACCTTCCCGTTGACTGTATGGGAGAACGCGTAGTTTTAGAAAAACAGGTTCACCGTCCACTTCCAGGTTTACCGACCGTACCTTCATGTCACCAACGTTACCGGAACACTGTACAATCAAATGTTGAAGAAGTGAGGTGATTAGGTTATCGTTGTTGGTATGCAGTGTGATCGATCCTTTTAGTAGCCGAATTACTCGCAGGCCCAGAATGGACGGACTGTGGGCTGATACCAGGACTCGGATCGGGATTGACACACCGGACTCAGATTGAACACACAACATCGTTTCACCAAGTAAATGCAATTGATGGCCGGTAATCCCATGAATGCGCACTGAAGTCGTGGCTAGAACAGCATTGGGAGAAATAGCAGTGAGTGCTGATTTCGGTAGGATAGATTCGCTGCTTCAAGTATCCATGATGAATCGATGCTCCACATCAGACTCGAACCTCAGTGGGGCGAACATGAACTGGCTGTTGGGTTTAGTGGTCTGCATCGTGTAGATTGGGCTTGAATTATCATCTGCCGTTGAGATATGGGAATCGACGAGGTTGCACTTGGGTATTCGGCATACCTTGCAAATATGGCCCATCTTACCACATGCATGGCAAGTGACATTACGGAACCGACAAGTCGAAGGTATTTACCACATGAAAAGCAGCGGTTGGTCGCAGCCTTCGGTTTGAAAAGGATACTTGAGGAACCGGGAGTGTATTATGAACACTGGGTGCGTCACGTAATGGTTTCGTTGATTGCCGACGGAATAACACAGGAGTATCCGCATTTATGGAAGCACACAAATCATCAATTTGCTCACAGATCTTTCGAGTGTCAGCAAACGTGATGTCTTTCTTTTCCAAAATCT